TAGCTTCTATCAAGAAAAATATTTTTGTTTTTTCTTGTACATTAAAACTTCTATTTTGGTTTATAATATCGTGCTTATTTGTGAATGTTTCAAAATTATTCGACGAACGTGCTTAACGGTTAATTGAACGAAATGTTATATTATCGTAAATTAGGTTGAAGCGAATTAATGCCTGTAATTTTATGAACATGTTGATTCTCACATTTATTTATAGCTTTTTCTCTTTTACAAATAGTCTGTATACATAAAGAAGTTAACATAAGATGTTTTACCAACGGTGTCGACGCAGACTGATCACAATGACAATCACTCATCGCCTTACAAATCAAATGATTGTCTACTGACGTTCTTTAATCTAACAACATGTTCAAATTTATTGACAATCTCGTAACCAATCGCTTCTACAGTAAAACAGCGCGAGCAGTCAAAGCCTTGAACAGTAATCGAATTTATAACACAAAGTCGGGAGAATATCTTAAATTGAGTGGGGTCAGTACGACTACAGCTACCCGTAGCGTTTGGACACGAGAAAGAGAGGAGGGATTCCATGGTCTAATTTTATTACGAGAAGTCAAACTCCTCTTCTGTCTGCTTCTAGGATCAAGGACTGAAATTCCGGAATAAAAAATACAGATTTGTAAATAAGATTTTCTAAAAGTCGCGGCATCTGTCAACATTAATATTCATCCGAAGACCCCATTAGGGCGCTTATAGCATCACTATGCCACACGGCGCAAAAAACTTTTGACACTTCAAATCCTTAGACTTAGCTAACACGTCGAAGTTTCAAATTCTCCGACCACTTTTAATGGCACCTGTCGCTACCTATATGCCTCTTTTTCAAATCTCATGAAACTGTACACCAAGGTTGCACCAGGTGTATCCCGTTTCCTCACGGTGAGATGGGTTTTGTAATAGGCTTAAGTAAAAGACGAAGGATTATTGTCATGATCTGCCGTGTCTGCGTGAAAATAGTCTCCCAGCGTCCTTGTTCCTCCGAGACAAAAACAAATTAATTACATATTTTGATTTCTTTCTTTGACAAAATTTTACTTTAATGGTGACGTTAAGAGTTGAACTAGATGGAGACCTTTCTCTTGAGGAAATACTCTTATTGGTAGTTTTGTAATGAAATGCGTTAACATTATTGAATGCTTATACCGTTTGATTGCATATCTACTTACATATTACATGTTTATTGTACTTTTTGTGATACATGTTTTAATATATTTTTCAAATTATTCTTTCGTCTTCCAGAATAAGAAGAGATATATATATATATACACAAGAAGAAAAGACAGAACAGTAAAACGGGGATTCAAACATGTAACGAAAAAATGCAAAAGAACACGAGCTAATGAATAATTCATTTCATCCGGATTAATTCAGTGATGTCAGAAAAGGAACAGTACCGGTACAGAAATCACGAATACCGTTGTCACACACGCCTTACATAGGCATATAGAACGCCCATGCTCGGCGGGGCGTTTGCACGATATTAACTGATAAAAATAGTAAAGTGTGAACATCAACATCAAATTTCATTTCCATATAAATCTTAAATTGTTAGAATTAATCTCAGAACAGGTTCTGCTGTAATTTGCAGTTATTTGCTAGTATAGACCTTGACTCAATACGAAAGGACAAACCAAGATGAAAACGTCACAAATTTTATAATGTACAGATTTCTAAAGTGTTTTGTGTAATATGAAATAAATAGAAAAATGTGTGTAAAGGAAAACAATCTTTGAACGAAAAACATCCAAAATGAAAAACAGAATCAACATGAAAAATGTGTTTTTATGACGCAATACATTCTAATGATAGTGTTGAAACATAGATGTGAAAATTGTTTTCATAAAAAAACAAGGGCCTAGCATGTTTTAGGTACTGACATCGTTTTGCCATTTTCTGTAGAATGACCCGATTTAGAGATTATGTGTTCAATGGAGATGCGTCATTAAGACATCTACAGAAATTGGATTGACTAGTAATCGGTTCCACAGTGCTGTCTTGATGTAGTAATACATTAAACCGTGGTGAATTATTTATGTGGCTTTTAAAGCAAATGAAAGACAATGAAACTCTTTTCATTTAAATATGATATCTCTAAATATTCGCATGGGGTCTCTGACAAATGGAGTATCGGGACGAATCTATTTTACCACTTGGGTAACAAGAATTGGACAAAGTGAGAACTCTACCGTGGCATTTGTGATTTTGAGGTGTCTGACAAATGGTGTGGGCGGGGGGGGGGGGGGGGGGGGGGGGGGGGGGAGCTTTCATCTTGTGTTTCGGGAGAAGCTCATTTTCCTTACATAGGACAATCAGCGTGAATGAAGCGTTAGATCCACCATACTGCCCTACACGACATTCAGTAGTGTGAAAGCACATGTCTATTAAATATCTGCTGGAAGTACCTTTAAGCTAATTCTTGCGATATCTATGCTTAAAAAATTATGTGCATTTCAAGAAACTTAAGCTGTGTATCTGACTAAAAATGTGTTGGAGACATAATCCAGAGGTTAGTAATTAGATATGTATATTTGAAATCATATGTTTATGACTTCGCCTTGATATGTGTGAGATATCACATTCAATGCCAAATAATATCTGTCCAGTTACACGGAAGTCAAGCCTAGCAGAACACAACGTTCCAGTGTTTCACATGAAAGTCTTGAAATTAGTACAATCCCTGGTCCTACGGAAACTTAACTCGCAATGAAACCCTGTCAGCGACATCGTTTTTCACATTTCAACCAGAAAAACCTCAAATGCATTACATGAAAGAGCAAGACTGGCATGAAATCTCAAGTTTAATTCCTGTAATCCGTATTAACCTTTCAAGAAAATGGCGTCGGATTTAGGTTTAGGAAATGGGGATTATGCCACCGCATCAGGTATCGGACACGGCTAGGGACAGATATGGGCCACGAGAGTGAAGGAATCCTCTACAACAGAATAAACCCTCGTTAAGAGAAACCCCCCAAGGTAGAACTAGGTGGGTAGCTGGTAATAAAAACAGTGCAATGGCCCAGAAGAGGTCGTTGATGATTACATTATTGTTAATATACCAGGCTTAAGTGCCATTAATGACTGCCATCGAAAACTCAGGATACATTACTGGTGTTTAATATAGAGGAATATTAAGATGGCGCTCGGGGCAAATCACTGAAATAAATCCGGGTTTGTGCAGAAAGCAGGACAGTGATGATAAAGTGAAAGACTTTTGGTACGGCACGGCTGTGTTGAAGTTACTTGGTACGGCACTTGTGGTTAACATGGCTGATCCTGCAAATGTGTCCTACTCTTTGGTCTGGGTTTTGGGGGATTAAGTACTAACTATTTATTTATACACACATCATATGAAAATAGGTTCGCCTTATTTTTCGGACATGAATCTAGTTACTGGGTGAATTGAATAACGCCTTCTAAATGACTTGATTTAAATGTGACATTTGATACCGTGTCAAAAAGGTGTAAAGTATCAAAATGGAAGAAGATTCATGAAACAAAATGTAGAAGAAATTATTTTGAAATGTATTTGATGAAACTATCGTAGTTTTACAAAAACATACTGTTTGTTGAATGTAGCATAAACATACTTTTTGACGAATTGTACTTAAACATCCTTTTTCGTGTCTCATAATGCATATAGTATTTAACGTATAATATGAGATATTGAGAACAATGCATGGTTATCAGCATATAACAATAATTTATAGTTTCTAAACATGAGGACTTAAGTTACTGCAAATATAACACTATCACCATCTGTTATTATATTTGCATACTGAAGTCGGTGTGCATCTGCATTTAACAAACATGATGCTATAGACATTGTCTTCTTGTTTACTGTCTCCATTTATCTCTTCACTGAGTAAATCTTTCAAATAGTTTTATGGTAGATATGTGGAGGACAGCTCCAAATTGACGCATCAGTGATAAAATTATGCATGTCTGATGCAAATACCTATTTTGACTGATATATGTTCACGTGTTTCTTTTTCAGGTGAACAATTGACTGGTCTTTGCTAGTGTTTGTGACGGATGTCACAGGTGGGGCTGAAAACGCTCACCGCGTCGCAAACACCTAGCATCATCGCTATTTGATAGCGATACGTGAACACATGCTCATGATGCAGTCGGAAGCGTACAGTGGACTTTGCTTTCAGCAGAGCTTTCTTATGAATATGGAAATGATTTTGTCGCTTTAATTTATTATTATCACGGTTCATCACAATAGAACCTGCGTGGACATATAATTCTGTGTTTCTGTTTAAACAAGTGAAGGGTTGTTGCGTAAATCGATGCTCATGATGTCAATCACTGGATTGTCTGGTCCAGACGCGATTACTTACAGATCGCCGTCTTATAGCTTGAATATTGCCGAGTGCGGCGTTAAACAACAGACAAACAAACAAAGGATTGATACACTCGCATTCTAAACAATAGAGCTACAACATCGTCGAACATCTCTTGAGCAGCTGTTCTTTTTGCTTCAGCTTTGTTTCAATAAACAAAATACATTTGTGATAATTTAATTTTGACAGCCCAGTTTGAATTAAGTGTAAATGAGTGAGTGAGTGAATTGGGTTTAACGTCGTTTGACAGTTTTACGTTATATATACTATGCAGCATCTCATGTTGGAGGAAAGCCCAAAATCATGCAGGTCTGAAACGTTCACCACTTTGGTGAAACCCAGTGCTGACAAATCTAGAGATAATATGATCGCTAATCTAGGATTCGAAGCCACGATCATACGATTCTGGCCCGACTGAGGGACGCAAGCCACATTGCACAGAGAATAAGGGCACCTTATAAGACTCCTGCTATGCTATCAACAAGTATCATTTAGTTTAAAGTCACCATAATTATTTTCTTTTGAAACTGATGAAGAATGCATCAAGCTGTAGTTTCACGTCTCATTGTGCATTGCATGTTAAAACCAAAATACCGTATACACTTAAACTAATACGCACTATATCTTAATGCTTACCTGAATTCTTGCCTCATTTAGCTTGGTGATTCTTGCCAGTTCTTCTCTACAATATATATCAGGGTAGTGGCTTTTGGAGAACGCCGTTTCCAGTTCCCTTAGCTGCTCCTGGGTAAAGGTCGTTCGGTGACGTCGTCTCGCGGGAGTTGGGCATGTGGCTGCAGATGGGTTATGTCCCCCTGAAGGCCCTGACCCTGTGGATGACGAGGAGAGGGGCGAGATGCCCGGCGAGCTGCTTTCTGGTTTGAGCTTCTTGAAGGCACCCTCCTGCCCTGAAAGCGAATAATGGCCTGCGTTCATTGGCAAAGGTTAGCTGATAAGTATATAGTTAGCGGCGTAAAACCATACTCATTCACTCTTATGCGTGACAAGTATTTACTTCATATATGTTGAAGGTTCAAAACAGCGATAATGACCTTCTTACAAAGCGGTAGTACGTGAGTATATATTATTTGAAGGATATCTCCAAAGTTGAGGCATCAGTGACAAAAATAATGACGGATGAAATTCCCTATTTCGACTTGTCCTTGGTGTTCCTGTGCCTTTGCATGTGTTTGTGAAGGGCGCCACCGGTGGAGCGGGATACGCTCACTTGTTCGCGAACACTCGGTAACATTTGATAGTGATTCATGAACACATGCTTATGATATAGTCGGAAGCGTGAAATGAGCTCTACTTTCAGTAGATTTTTCTTTCGATTTTTAAAAGGATTTTGTCGCTTATATTTCCATCATAGTCATACAAAACATGTCACTTATGGTGAGAAAAGGTTATTTGATGAATTTATGACGCATAGATAATGTTATTTTTGAAGATCCTAGCACCCCCACCACTACCCTGAAAAGATATAACGATCGTACCACACTAACGTTCTGTGAAGATTAACGGCGTATATCTCAATGGTCAGTGCTGACTACCTGGAAGGTAGGCGATACTCTGTGAACACGCATTATGTAATCACTAGACGTTATGGCAGAACATTGCTTCATGTAGAAATCATATATTGTCTTTTTTACTTTTTTTTTTTTTTCAGTGTCTGAATCCGGGCAAATGTCCTATAACTGTAAATAATGTAACCGGGGGATTATTGAGTTGTCAGAAAGTGATTAGATTCTGTTCACACAGCTGAATAAAAGCGAGATGCATCACACTATTTGTAATATAAATGTAAAGACTACAAGAAGATGTAGTGGAGCCGGGATCTAAGTCCGGTTTAGACAGCAGTCCGGATTAAACAATTCTGGTTATGACCAACGCTTTACACTATATCACAAGTGTCACTTAAGACAGATTTTGTTCTCCTAATTATTATATTATAACATGAATGAAAATAACTTTGATTACAATTATATCACGTTCTATCTGGTAAACAAATATATTCAATTATCATTTTAAAAATCATATCCTATATAGATGCGAACTCTTATGTTATCAGCTAAATATCAAAACTATTCGTATATAAAAAGGACCTACTTTGAATGAATCGTGTTGAATAGCTGCCCAATACTCTGAATAAATCTATCATGATTCGGTGATAATGTGTCGAAACATTTACTTCTCAACTCAAAAGGTAGAAATCACGGAGTGCCTATACTTGGTGATGTTGCTGGAATATTGTGGCGTAAAACCTTACTCACTCACCCATGAACAGAACAAGAACTACATAAATTGACAACTTCATTGTTTGGAATATGTTCGATGTCACATAACCAATTAATTATGTTCTGCTCGATGTACTTAAACAATTATTTAGCTGTCTATGTCACAAATAAATGCGCATATTTATGCATCCCTCTATCCGAGATAACGAAAATAACAAGGCATAATTCCCTCAGAATGTATTAATCATTTTAATATTAATTTAACAGAAGTATGGAAAATGTATAATTTGTACTAACCACCATCATGGATATAATAGGTAGTTTTTAGTAAAACGTTTTTACTTAAAGACAGGATACCAGGTACCCCACACTCTGACTGGGTCAAGAAACGGCACTTTACACATGGGTCTGTATAAACAGCGACCATATCATGATTTCCGCTGTCGTGCAGTAGTATAGTCCGACATGTGCACTGTCACGTCACGACATACAAGGGTATGATAATTATATCCCTTTACTGATATATTTTACCTTTCAACGTGTTAACAAATTTCAATAATATTTTGTTGTTGATATATTTATGATCTATGTTGCAGGAGTGAACACCATTAAACGATTGACCGCATTTCGATAAATATATTCCTTTTCTGCATTTCAACGTATAAATATATTCATTTCTTTAGAAATGTTTATGTTTTATATAGGCCAGAGGATTGAACATATTGATCAGCCGCATTTCGATATTAGTCAACATCATGTTGTACACGTGGTATCCCGTGGTACATTTATCAACATACTGTGGTCAGTCAAACTCAAATTGACACTTCTTAGATACAGTCATTGTTACGATTACTGTTGTCTGCGTTGCGTTAATATTCTACTTTACTGCAATACTCATCCGTTGAGTTTTCATTAAATATGTTCACAATTTTTCATAATTATTGAAATCTAAATACAATTAAAATAAATGCAAATAATATATCAAATAAATTAAAATTATAATGAATGGAAGAATGAAAGAAGAATATGTGCACTGATACATAAAACATATTTAAAATTGAAATACCCAAAGGTTTACATTAGATCATAAAGTATGTACAAATGAATTCCACATCTCGCTTTAATAAAAGCATCTCTCACCATGCCCTCAGTTGTCTGAGCATATATTTCCCCGACCCCCGGGCTCTGACCTCGACCCCCAAGCTTCCTACCCGACGCTACAGTATCGAGTTGTTCCCCAGTGACAGATGGGGACAGGACCTTGTTACTAGTTGGACATCACGAACACATAGCGCTAAATGACCACAACAAAGGCCAAATACTGAATACCCGTAATCAAATCTGTCTCATTTGTCGCCTGTGATATTTGTGACAGTTTTCATGTGCTTACGGCTAATTACTGTTCACGGTCCAGACAAGGGAGATTTATGTGTGGCTACTCGTAGAATATTTGGAAACATGTCAGGATTAACACATATATAGTTACTAATGTGGTGTGATATATGTATATTTAATAGCCTTAATACCAATAAAGAAAGGGTTGACTTATGAATTTCGACTTCTTTTTTCTCTCTACAGTGCTACGTGTCGGTACAGAAACTACTGACGCAATGAAGGCACTGGAATCTGTACGTTGCATTTGAAAGCGTAAAAAGTATGTTGAAATCCATATCAATCCAACCTTCAACGTGTCATGGTTTTTTAAACTAATATACTTGTGCTGCATCGGTAGTGATATTTTGGCACTATTTGATTTTGTCGGAATCGTACAATGAACAGAGATTTCTTATGACTATGAAAAGGTCTTTGACGCTTTATTATTATTATTATTATTATTATTATTATTATTATTATTATTATTATTATTATTTCAGTATTATCAGATTTAGATATTTGCTTTTGTATTATTGTTATCATTATTATTATAAATTATTAGACATTGTCTAATAAAGTATATTATGTCATTATTCTTGGAAAACGGATCACTATCGACACGAAAATGTTGCAGTAGAAAATGCAAAACGTGAAAAACATTTAAACTTTGATTTCATACTATTTATCCTTTAACCTAGCTTACCACAACGTGAATATTGGCATTGTATTTACAAATGCAAATTAGCCAGGTCTCCAAAATCTCTCTCTCTCTCTCTCTCTCTCTCTCTCTCTCTCTCTCTCTCTCTCTCTCTCTCTCTCTCTCTCTCTCTCTTTCCCCTCTCTCTCTCTCTTTTTTCATTTACTAACTTCAGTAATGAAACCTGCAAGCCCAAAATTGCAAAATCCATTCTTAGAAGGTTGCGATATTTTATGAGAGCAGTTTTTCTTTGCTTAATTTTCTTGTTCAATATATCAGTGATATGCTTTTGATCAGGGTCATAGTTATCTTCACTGTTTTCCAGTATTTGAAAACAAAAGATACACACTATTTCCATCAACTTTGTCCATACACTAAATAGATAACTTACCGAAGTCAACGTTTACAATTAACATGTACAAATATTCTGTTACTGCTCTTCAATAATATTGAATGAAAGCATGTTATTTTAAAAATTACAAATTTGATACTATTGTGCCTTGTTTTGTTCATTCAAAAAAAATAATCCATCAATTTGCATAGGAAACCTACAATTATATGAGACCGAAGTTTTTTTCGATTACATTTAATTACTTTTAACTGTAGATTCAAATTGAAAAACATTCTAAAGTATCACACTCAATACATTTAATTTGAGGGAAAGTAGTTGTAAAAAAAGAAAACAAAATAGATTTCAATGCGAATTGGTAATGTTTTAGTAATGTCATCCCAGATATCTCAGGATCGAAGAATTGTTTTGTCTCTTAACTCTAAAATATTTTAACTAAATACGTAATAAGCATGTAAGTTATTACCGGCGCTTGTAATATGCGCATCAACTATTCAAATTCTACCCGAAAACGGCATGAATACTGAACAGATTACACGTGAGTTTTCTTTTTCATCTTCCAACTTCTCATTAAATAATTTTCCTGCGTGTTCGCTATATTCTTAATTTGTACGTAACATGTAAATATTGTATTGCATTCAGTTTAAGGTACTATAAAGAAATTAATGCATACGAAACAATAATAACATGTACAGACATGGATTATTCATTATAACATATTTCTGAACAAAGGTTCAAACACGTGAAACTGTCACTAAATCTCTGGTAATAACAACTTCACAAGAGGAATCTAGATAATTAGGGGTAACGCAACCAAGAAACCCTTTGACACTTAAATCTAATAATATATAAGATGACACATTATATCATGGCGGTAATATTGGCACGCAGTCTCACACTGAGGTGTAAACAGATGCCTCTTGCATCATCTCTCGGACACTATCCCGCTCTCCAACATGGCAGCGAAGAGCTCTTGAAACTAACTAGTTATACTTGTCAACACTTCACAAACATACAACAATACAAAAGTGATAGAGTCATTTCCGCTAACATCACTCTCCCGACGTGTGTCACACCCCGAGGGGTCCCCCTCCCCTCCCGACCCCACCCACACACTCCTTATCCCCTCTCAGCTTACACGAACGCGTGCGACCCCCAAGCAGCACGTGCGACCGTTTTGTTTGTTAGCTGGTGGTAAAGAGGTCTTACGAGTGACTTGCGACTTTCCCTGACTGTCATACGCCAAACCTCCTCGTTAATTAGAAACGACGGGATAATACCTGCATGGCTGGTAGTGGAATTTTCAAGGAGAAGTTTGTATATTTTCGTATCATTATGTCACCGAGCAGTTATACAAGCCGTGATAAACATGGGATATCTGGAATGTATGGTTTGGTTGTTAAGCTCTCCACGCGCAAACCTTTTACTAAGGTTCCAATGTTTTGATAATAATGCACTTATAGCTAAGGTTAAGAATTTATTGGAAACTGTCTTCATTGTCGTACGGCCCTTAACATTATTGTGTATCAGAGAATTTGTATAACACATTAATAATATTTTTCTAATGTTCTGAAAGTTATTTCTTTCCCGTATTTCCAATACTCTCGGTAAATGCCATGTCCGTCGGATAAAATATTGAAAGTAAAATAATGGTAAGTTTAAAATATTGATAAATCGAAAAATGGCAATCATTGAATCGTATACTAGGTCCTGTTTTATTTTTAAGTGGCATTCTAGAATTTGTACCGCGGTATGAATGAAGACAGTACCGACTTGTGGATTTCAACTCCATTATTCTTTCAAAAGGACAGTTCAAAATGTTTCTAGCATCTGTATCGAAACGTCGCATTAAAAGAATAATGAATTTGAACCCAGAAGGCAAGTCTGTCTTCATCTTTACTGAAATTAGCAACATAAAAACAGTACATCTCCACCCGTCTGTTATTATGATAATGCGGAAGATGATAATAATAGAAAAAGGAAAAAAATCAAGTTATTGACATTTTCGTGAAAATTTACAAAATTCTTTAAGAACCTAAATCTCTCTCAAAATATAAATAGGTTTATTGCAACCAATGACAAAGTGTTAGAAATATAACTTTGTGTGAACCAATTTAATCGGACTCAGAAACATAGCCACACGTGTGTATGCACCAAAACACAAACGAAGATTCGCAACTAAGAGAAACATTTTATAATTTTCGAGACGAAAAATACGTGTCGAAGTGATGATTTTTAACATTTATTTCTATATGAAAATTATATGTTTAAATATATATAAGCATTCTTGTAAATAGAACAAATATTTTCTGAAAATAAATTTTAACAAGTCATCATTTTCTTCATACACATTTCTTATGAGAATGACTGTTGCGGGGTATTCACATTATTGTAGAAAATCTGCAAAACGAATTTATAGAACCCTGTGCTATGAACCTGCTGGTTTTGTAAAACGAACACACACCTAGAACACACAATCAGAAGAGATTCAAAATGGTGTTTAAGTCATGTTGAATAAAAGTCCGACGAGGTGAATTTGTATCGGCGGAACGATAGAATTTGATGAAAAAGCAAATGGTATAAACTTGATTGTTTTTCTAGAAACACACAACATAAACATACACAAATATAATACACAAGCAGTAAAAAGGTTCCAAATTGTATTCCAGTCATATGCAATTGAATACAGCTGAAAATGAAAGTGACACAATGCATAATGCGACATTTAACAACCCCTAAGCATCAATGTATAACGTTATAAGATAGAAGATGTACGCATACAAAATATCAACATACCTAGCTTCCGTATTGAGACATCTCGGAATACTAAAGAGAGGCCTGGTATCAGAGCTAAATATAATGTTTTATCTCTACGCAGTTGCACGATCTCTACACGGCGACTGTTTTGCATCCAAATGGTAAAACTAATTTCAGAATGTGTCGCGAAACATTTCTTAAAAAATAACTCAACGATTTACCGAACGCTGAGATAAAACTTGAAATTGAACTGATACAATGACATTTCAAAGCTGTCGACAACTCGGAATCGAATAATGGTATAAATTTAAAGAATTTTGAAGGAGAAAAAATAAATTTGAATATTACCTCGTATAGAAATATGTCCGTATTCGGAAGACAGAAATTATTGGTTCTCCCATCTTCTACAAGTTGCACGTAGAAATACCGGAGGAGATAGAAATTGTGTGTGATTTTCATCAATAATTAAATATCACTTTGAAATTGTATCGTCACTAGTGTAAAATGAAATTACTTAAACAAGTATATTATGTTACATTCATTAAGCGTTTCTCCGAAGCCAGGTATTTGATAACATTCAATCTATTCGATTAGGTCGGACGCTCACAATAGCTAAGCCAATTATTAAAATCCGATTTTCATCGCGCTCAGCTGTAATTTTTTGTTTGAGAAATTAACACGGATAGAGCAACAAAAGTGATTTGTTTATTGTGGGACCTACCTGTGGGGTCGGGAAGAGACCGGGGGGTGGAAACGGCTGCCGCGGCGTCCATAGAGTACAGACTGGTGAAATCGTCACACTTCCTCTTGTCGCGGTCGTCAGCGGTAGGGACTCTTTGCTCTTCTGTTAAGGCCGACATTTTCCTCCGATATTTCAGACCTGTTCAGCTGAAGGGGGGATCTGTGAAAAAATTAAACTGACTAATGTAATTTACTTTCACGTACATTTATACCGCCTCTTGTCGTGCGCCGAAATGCCGCACGCTCACAACCAATCAGAATTCAACAATAGTGCCAATGATTCGTCGCACGCGACTATGAGCCGTTCTCGCTTTTGATTGGTTGGTTTTAGGCTCCTATGGTTTGCTAACAATGTAGGCGGTGCCGCGGTGTTCGGTAGTGAATCTGGAATTCCCAAAGCTCCTTTTCTGTGCGAGATGTAACCGTAGAATCAATAAGGGAATGTTAGGGCCGTAAATGGACCTTAATTACCGCCTGAAAATTGGGTCCCGTGATATTACCAACTGTCACAACACGAGAAAAAAGATTCGCATAGCCTTGGGCCTGCTCTGTATTAAAAGCTAAAAAGTTAAGAGCTCAAATTCAGACCCTGTCCTCGGAAGCAACTTACTAAAGAAAAGTTTATTTTTTCATAAAAAGAGGGAGATGATATGCATGCAAAGTATTTCAAAAATGGAAATGTAAGACTCGAGTCTCGAAGCTTAGGAACCAATAACCATAATAAATACATGAACGACAACTTTCTATTTAATTCATTGAAAATACAGTAATGTAAAGCATTTCTTTCTATATATTTAGATAACATTGCTGAATGGCAAATAAATATATTTCTTAAAAAAATTCTAAATATTTATCCTTAAAGTAGATACATCTCAAAATAATATTTCCATATGGTATAACGGAAAGTAAAAACATTCGACTACATATTGAAGACTTCTGAAGTACATTTACTTGCTGCATAAAAATGTTTGAAAAGAACATGGTATCTCAATGTATATTTAAGTCAAGCATCAGTCGTATCAAAAATATAGTATTTGTACAGATGATACTTGTGATAATCATGTCTAGTCAGTTATCAAAATACATGTAACAATGAATGAATAATAATAATCTTACTCTTTAAGAAAGAATCTATCAACTTTGTTTTCATAGGTGAGAGCGTCTACCGCCTGTTAAGATTAATCAAGCAAAATTGGAATTACAAAAGAAAGTCTTTGATAGGCAGTTAGAAGATGGGAGAACATGAATACATAACCCTTTTTTATGGATAGTAACTTGTTTTGAATGAAAATGAAGTTGCTATCCAGTAAAAGGTGTCATGTATTCATGAAACAACAAAAGACGTGAACTTGCACACTTTGACGACAGTACTGTACACAATGTAAAACGCAGACTAAAAGATAATTCTAGATGTTGACAATATACAAATGACATATGAATATCAATATGAATTGTAATAATTTAATATTGAGGTATCAAATTACGTTGTCAGGTATCATGATTCTATCTGATTCTGGACCCTCGACTTTATCTTAGCTGAAGTAGTTGCCACAATGACTGACAGAGTAGGGAAGTAGCACGGGCAGTATCAACTGACTTGCTGGTATAGATCACAGTTATTAACACGTTGAGTGTACCAGGGCTGTCGTCTACATTGATCCATCTCCAGGCATGTGTGTCTTAGTACTGGAACTACCCTGGCAGGATTGCCACCATCCCGCGCGTTATGTGGCCGCTCACTGCCGCAGTGGGCCTTGGGTTATTAACACACTCGTCCTCAAGGAACTAATTTATTCTGAGAACAATTCTTAAGCAAATACATTTTTAATGTGATCTTTGTGTTCACTTTGCCTCAGTATGAGTGTTACGTTAATTTTTAAAATCATTTGTCTTTGCAGAATTTCTGCTAGTTTAGTTTTAACGTATTTCGTTGACCTAATATACAATGACATTAAACAAAGTGACACATTTACTTTCCAAAATTATAATTTTTAACAATATTTCAGCATGTTGAATATTTACAAAGAAATAATATACATGCGTAAATACATACATACCAGTCGACAGCTTCGTGATCAGGTGGCACATTCAACTAATTCGTCCATGACATTACAGGTTTTTACTGCTCTAAACACTTTTATTGACTTTTTCTCGATGACGATTGTGTCTCTACTTTCATTTCAGTTGTACATTTAATGCCAGACATCGTCTCAAATTCAGTCACGAGCAGCTGCACGACAGCAACTTCTACTGTACTACTACAACTACGACAACGGCGGTAAAGGGGTGATTTAACTAACAACGACAATTGGTGACGATAACGTTTCTTAAATAAATTTCATTATTATTTCAACTATTTATACTACTACTACTACTACTTCTGCTACTACTACTACTACTACTACTACTGTGAGTACCAAGGGCTTGGAGAAGTTTTTTTACTACTACTACTACTACTACTTCTACTACTACTACTACTACTACTACTACTACTACTGTGAGTACCAAGGGCTTGGAGAAGTTTTTTTTGTCCAGGCAGTATATAATTTGATTTTAGAAAATGTAACTAAAATTAACTGTTAGTATATTATGCGATATGAATATTACAGTAAAGTACGGTTATAACGAACTCAAAGGAACTACTAATTTTGGTTCGTTATAACCGTAGTTCGTTGTAAGCATATATGCTTCATAACTACAGCAAATAGTCGGGACCAAAAAAGTAAGTTCGTTATATCCGTAAGTTCGTTATAAGCGTGTTCGTTATAACCGTAGTTTACTGTAGTTTAATATACTAACATTGTGTGAGTGACGGGTGCTTACGGTGAAGCTTGACACACCTACCCATTTCGCGAACACTTGGTGTCATCACTGATTTTCAGTGATCCATTCATATAATTTTATGTCACTATTTTGCATTTTATTCCCTATGGAATCTTTTTCGGCAGATATGTGTGAAAATAGTGCCCAAGAAGACATATCCAAATGTTAAATAAAAGCGACAAAACCCTTTTCATGTCGATTGCACGAAGAATTTCGCAAATGATTATGAAGAAACTAAATGTGGTGGAACATTTAAAGAGTTCTCATACTGTATTTGGAAATCAAGTATTCGCATATTTTTCACTTCATACAATTGAATATAAAATCTATTTAACAAATCATATAATTGCCAACAATCTAAAATCATTCTTTTAAAATTCATTAAATGACAGGAAAACAATGTTGAACGGCAAGATGAAAGTAACGGTTCCAATTCAGCTCGATTATACAACAGTAATGGTATTTCACAGTTACAATCAAACTCACTCCAAATTACTGTCTCCCCCGAATGTAACAAATACTATCGCCACAAACAAATCAAAGTACATTCTTTCCAATTTTCTATCCAGGCGTTCTACATGCCCTATGGTTGTTTTCAGGGAACTTAAACCACACAGATACACAACACCGAAAGCGGTTTAAAGGATAACTGTCAACAAATCTCACTATCAGGAACAAATTACCCTCTCAATATCGCCCGGCTAAACTGTGACACGCGACTTGTATTTGCAGCACGCGTAGGGCTGATGGAATCGGCACTGAACCGAATAGGATTAATTACCTAGATGTACAGACTGTGTTGAGAGCAGATATGACGGAGACGTGATAGATAGTTTGTCGGCAGTACCGTTCGCTGTTGTCAAAGTGTCCAGGATGTGTATGCTGAAGCCACTTAGATGACATTGTGAAATTATTTGAACGGCTATGAACGAATGTGAAATTTGTTCAGTCGCCTCGAGAAATCATTGAGGGTGTGGCTTGGAAGTGTTTGAGATAGTTGATATCATATGTATAGTTCTGAAATATTAATATTTCAGGATGGATGAGTGAGTGAGTAGGGTTGCATTTCACATTTCTCTTTTTCAGTGACACATTAAATTATAAGTATCGGAAATAATATAGATAATGTAGATCGAGGACACGAGCGAAAACGGAGCGCGACTTTCAAAGATAGTTTAAACAAATACATTTATTCTAAATTGAATAAATATATTATTTTTTTCATAAATCGTTTTGTCCATATTTGGGACACATTTATATTTGCAAACGCTGGAGTTCTTCTCAATGTCCCCATGATGTTAGGCTCGGAAAACAATTGGGAATATAGAAATGTCCGAATTAATATAACCTCTTCAAGGCAAGCCATAATTATAACGGTACATTGTCACATGCACAAATATTGTTTTCCTTCTGAAACACTGCCACTGTGAGATATATGCTTCATTAAGTTGATATTTTCTAAGTATACGACACTAAATTGTACCTTAACTTTAAACTTCATTATTAAAAATAAGAAATAATTTCTCACACTCGCTCTAGGTAAATCACGTTTATGACATGTGATATGAAGTGAATATGTTTTTTCTTCTTCTAAATATGCCCTTACTTGGGTATTTGTTTATGGATTACAATCTCAGTTTTCTCCCCCATAAACCCCATTGTCGTCACAAGGTGATGTTACATGTTTGTAAATAGTCATACAAATGACGCGGTTGCCGCATTACGGGACATGCTCACATGCCCATTGTCGTCACAAGGTGATTGTACATGTTTGTAAATAGTCATACAAATGACGCGGTTGCCGCATTACGGGACATGCTCACACTGGCGACATTAGCCAACATCTGCACCAACATATTTACAGGTGGATCCATTTGTGTGGCAAGAGACGATATTTCTTCATCTTCAGTTTTAGAACGTGCAGAATACAGGATTCCCGGTTTCTTATCATAACATATTCTTACTGTAACAGTCTACCTATGCCCAAAGTACTCGTCTACTGTATCAATCTAGCAATATACTTGTGCCCAATCTTTCCCATCAAGATGCTTAGGACACTGTGCCTCGGACATGTCTTCAAAATTTCACAAGACTCATTACCAAGGGTTGTCCTGAGATGGACACCAGCAGGGAAGAGAAGGAGAAGGAGAAGGAGAAGGCCAAGAACATACTGACGTAAAACTGTTGTGACAGAGCGGGCAAAGACGGGCCTGTCGGGGGGAGGGGCACAAGCTCAAGCACAAAGGATAGAAAGGAGGAAACTTGTTGAAGCCTTATGTCACCAAAGGGACGAAGAAATTAAATCTAAAAATGTCAACTTATGCCACAG